TCTACAGGAAATTTTCCAGGACAGTGAATTCAGTATTCTCTTTCTCTCTGCAGCTCTCCCAATCAAATCTGGGCTTGATTTTTAGCACAGTTGCCTGTGGATGCAGGAGATAAGCATCTATTTCAGCAGTGCCTTGGAGACCTCCTGGCTTCCACAGAGTACCCCGAGTTGATACTTGGCTGGCCCGAGTCTGGGCCCATATTCTCCCCAGCACTTCCAGCCTGCCCCACACACAGACTAACCACACTCCAATAACCAGCCCTCAGCTGGAGTCTCAGGTGTGCACCCTGAGAAGCTGTTGCCATGTATAGAAACAGTCAGTGCTGCAGAGATTAAGTTACGTGAAAGTGCCTCCCTATATCTTCTACTTAATCCAAAATAAGTACTGAAGGCTGGGTGCAGTAGCTCATGCCTGTCATCCTAGTACTCTGGGAGGCCAAGGCAGGAGGATTGCTTGAGCTCAGGAGTTCAAGAAAAGCCTGAGCAAGACTGAGACCCTGTCTCTACTAAAAATAGAAAAGTTAACCAGATGTCATGGCACATGCCTGTAGTCTCAGCTACTCAGGAGGCTGAGGCAGGAGGATCGCTTGAGTCTAGGAGTTTGAGATTGCAGTGAGCTATGACGATGCCACTGTACTCTAGTCCGGGCAACAGAGCAAGACTCTGTCTCAAAAAAAAAAAAAAAAGTATTGAGTTTTATCTAGTATTTTTTCTCCATCTATTGTTACAACTATACATTATTTTTTTCCATTAACTACTCATATGAGTTATGTTGAACAAATGTTGGATGTTGAAACCTCCTTCTATTCCTGGAATAAATTCCTCATTCCTGTACTTTGAGTGGCTACAAAATATTCAATAGTATGGAAAACCTATAACTTATCCAATCATTCCCCTGTCCATGTTCTTTGTTTTTTAATGTTTCTCCATTACAAATGATACAATGAACATCTTTGCACAAATATTCATGCATACTTGTGTAACCATTTCTTTAAAATAGATTTCTGTAAGTTGAATTGCTACAACAAATAGTATGTGCATTCCTCATTTTTAATATAGGTTCCACTGAATTGGCCTTTATAGGGCTTGTATCAACAACCATAAACATCTTGTCATATTTTGCAATTCTGATTGGTAAAAAAAAAATTCACTATAATTTTAATTTGTGTGTATTTTTTAGAGAAATTAGCCATAGCAATATCATTTGGGTATTAGTCATTTGTTATTTCTTCCATGGTAAATTGTCTGTTTATATACTTTTTCCACATTTCTGTCATTTGTGTCTTATTATTTATTATAAATAAACTTCTTTTTTTATGTGGCTATGAATCCTTTGCTTTTTCTTTCAGTAAAATATTTGGGAACAAGGATTCTGGATCCACACTGCTGATATAGAATCCTACATCAGATACTTTTTAATTACATGCCTTTGTACAAGTTACTTAATATCCCTGTGCCTATGTTCCTTCATATACAATATTGATATTAATAATTTCTACCTTCTTGAATGTTGTAAGAAATGAGAAAAATAATACATGTAAAGTGCTTAGAACAGTGCTTGGCATATAGCCATCACTCCATAAATACTAGCTATAATTTTGTTCCAAAAGGAATATTCCTTAACCCTAACCTCAGTTTCCTCATATACAAAACAGGCTGATGATAGATTGTTTATGGAGATTAAATATGATAAAGTAAAGGGCTTAGATATAAAATAGGCCCTCATAATATGTCTATTAAATTTATGAACTATTATAATAGTCCAATTAAAATATGGAATATTATACAGGTTATATTATAGCAGAACCTCATAATGTAACGGCTCTTTTCATCATTTTGTCTAAAGATTATCATATAACAGAGTGCCACCACTTAGCTTCTGGTTGAATGCTAATATTTGTAGTTGCTACTTAAATAATAAGAAGAACTTATATATATGGAGCACTTAATATATGCCAGGTATTAGACTGCTTCATGCATATTGGCTCATTTAATTCTCATAGCAACATATGAGGTAGATATTGGTATTATATCCATTTCACAGATAGTGAAACTGAGTTATGTATAAATTTAAAACTTGCCCAAGGACACATTGGCAAATGGAAGACAGGGATTAAAACCAGACAATCTGACTCCAGAATTCTTAATCTTGACTGCTATGTCCTGCTGATCACTGAGCAGTGTACTACGCAGAACCTATGAGAGCTTTATCTTTGCTTTCAGAATAATAGAGGAAGTCTCCAATTTTATGTGTAATTTTAAAAGAGGAATAAAACATGTGACATATTATTAGGATAAGTTTTCTGTGGTGATTAGTTGCCCACTCAATTACAGAAATATAATAGCAATATTTCAAAGTTACATTGATTTTTGTTCTCCTATAAAACCTTAAAGAATTATCAATTATCTTTCTCATGATGACAGGTTTACCAAATAACAAAGAGAGGAAATGAGAGAAATCTATAATTATTTTTACAAATAACATTTACTTAGAAATAAATGTTTAAGTAAATTCTGAGTTTGAAATGATTGAAATAATCCACCTCTGTGTAGGATCTGAGAAGCCTTATGTTGTGTTAAAGTGCCATCTACAGCAAACATTGAAATATCTGCACAAAATGTATCCGTGGGATATTCCTTTCCATGTTTATTTAAATATCAGCTCCTTGCATTAAGTCTCACACTCCATCAGCCATGGTCCATTTTTACTCCATGGTTATTTCCATTCATTATTAACATCTTTTGGAATGCAGGGACTATTTTTGAAAGGAAATGAGCCAGTCAGACATATCTGGAGGCTTCACAGATGGCATTTTTTAGAATAGTTTTGTTTTCATTTTGCTTTTGAAAAGTCCTCTTAGACCCCTTTGCAACATGCAATAATGCACTCACATTAACTGATACATGATGCGTGCTTCTGCTATTTTTCCTCTGCTTCACTTGGCAATTAAACACATGATTTCCCTGCAAATGACTATAATTTTTTGCTTCCATAATATTTATGTCAACTCCAAAGGAGCTGGGAGTTGGCATCCTGAAAACCTGACCATCTGAGGCAATGGCAGCAGCATGTAATTTCATCTGTATCCACTAATTACTGCATGATCAGAACACCAGAAATAAAAAATCATATGCTAAAAAACCATAATGCGTGCCCTCAGCTGGCTAAATCAGTAATTTGAAGCCATGTGCAAATGAGCACATAACTTTCTGAGTGATTTATTGCTGTTTTGGGAATACATACTGAGCTTTGAAAATATCCATTTGACCTGAACTGCAAACTTTAAGATGAATGTGAATCAAAGCACTATTCAGATACCAAGAGATCTGCAGAAGTGGCCCTTTCCATGTCAAAAGGTATAACCAGAGAGCACATGTCCCTCAGAACTGGCCATGAGATTGTCTGAACAAAATGGCTACAAGTTGAAGGCAGAATCAGACACTGAAACTCCTGTGGTTATTTGTATTTTTGCATTTGGGGCTCATGGAAAGAAGATAATGTGCCATTTAAGCTTTTTTTGCACCCCAGGAATTGCTAGCTCCCTCTTTTCACATTCTAAATTCACTGGGCCTTAGACATTAAACTAGCCCAGTTGCCTCATTTTGCTTATAACAAAACTGAAGTCTAGAGAGGTAAAACTGCTTTCACAAAGGAAACATTGAAATAGTGGCAAAGCACAACAAGGAGCTCGGCCCCTTCATTCCAGAGTCATTTCCACCTCACCACCCAGGTGGCTGTGCTCACAGCTCAGCCTTTCCCCACACCTGGCAACTTCCCTACCAACAGACAGATTCCCAGAACTCTGGCCTAACAGAAGCTCTTTCCTGCTCTGCACCTCCTACTACATTCCTGGTTTATATTGACTTTGAAAATACTTGGTGTACACTGACTGTTTTATCAAATAAATATATGTTCATATTTGCCCTTCCCTAGGCCCTGAAGATATAAAAATCACATTCAGTCAATTCTCATTATCCACGGTAGTTCTATAAAGTTGCCACAAACACTGAATTAGCAAATAATGAACCATTGTTCCTAAGGGAAATATAGAGTTAGGTTCCTAAAAGCCTTTGGTCACAACATTTTTATCAGTTGATCAATACATAATTTTATGTGTGTATTTGTTTAAAGACACCTTACTTAAAATATATTAATTCATGACCATTGAATTCATGGCCAACAAGACTATAATTCATGCCTGAATAAAGCTTACCTAATATGTGCATTTTCTTGGTAAGGCACATCACAACCTTCTTGAGCTTAAGACTGCTAGACAGCACTTATGCACTACATTTGGGAGTCATTTTAAACAATGAAATCAACAACAAAAATGTAAAAATTCAAAAGCCTGTCACTAAATAGACCATGAAAAGGACACTTGTTTACAATATGAAAGCTGAAATTAGAAGGCAGAGCCTGTCCTTGTTTGATCTTATCTGGGAACGTGAACATCAGGAGATTATATTTTCTTGCCACTGTGCATCTTTATGAATGACCACAGAAAAACCTGGAAGGATCATGTGCTGCAACAGAAGGCCTTAAAACCCTCATTCATGAGTTAACAGTCAGGACTATCCACACAATCCCTTTTCCAAAAATAACTTAGATCATATTAATTACTGGAAGGCCCTTATAGGTTATAGATACCAAATTTATCATTGAATCATTAGACCAAAAGCCTGTGCTCCTTATGAAGACCCCTGTCATTGGTAGTCTACTGAGGAACTCTCACTGGTTCATTACACTGTGTACTAAAATCCTGGCAGTAGTCAGTGAATTCATGACTATTAGAGGGCTAGCTAAGCAGATTGATGATCATTCAGATACTTTCACAGTCCTTTTCCTCTACATAGAATAAGCAGGAAAAGGAGAGACTGCAATATTTGTGTCAGTCAAAGGTATCATTTACAAGTTTGCTTTTATAAGAATTTGATGGTACTAAAATTAGGAACTGATCGTCAAAGTGGGATCTAGAAGCTATCAATCAATTTTGACTTACCAGACTGCTTTCAATATAATAACTTTCCTTGACTTCTCTGTCCCTCTTCTCTTTTTTTCTTCGTTCATCTTTACGCTAAACCAAAAATAACATTTTAGGGTGGCAAGGGCAATATATGTAACTTTAACTATATTTGTATCCCCATAATATGATGAAATAAAAAGAATTTTAAAAATAACATTTTATTAGCAAACACAGAAAACCCATTGTATATTCTTTTTTGAGGGTTTTTTGAGAATTTTTCTATTTTAAAATATTTAATTGACAAATAAAGATCATATATATTTAAGTTGTACAATGTATTGATTCAATGTACATATACATCATATAATGATCACCACAACCAAATTAATACATCCATAACCACTCATGCTGTACATTAGATACCCAGAACTCATTCATCTTATAATTGGAAATTCGTACCCTTTGATCAACATCTCCTCATTTCCTCCTCACCCCCAGCCCCTGGTAACCACCATTCTACTCTCTGTTTCTATAGTATTTATCTTTCTGTGTCTGGCTTATTGCACTTAGCATAACACCCTCCAGGTTCATACATGTTGTTTCAAGTGGCAGAATTTCCTTCTTTTTATGGCTGAATAATATTCCATTTTGTGTCTGTGTATCTGTGTTTGTGTCTATAGTTTGAATGTGTCCCCTCCAAAATTCATGTCGAAATTTACACCCTTCTGGTGGTATTAAGAGGTAGAGCCTTTTGGCAAGTAATTAAGTCATGAGGGCAAAGCCCTCATGAGTGGATCAGTGCCTCATAAAAGGGGTGGAAGGAGCTCGTTTATGCCCTTTGCCCTTCAGCCTTTCTCCATGTGAGGTCACATCATTTGACCCCTCTGGAGGATGCAGCCACAAGGTGCCATCTTGGAAGCAGCAAATAAGCCCTCATCAGACACCAAAACTGCCAGTGCCTTGATCTTGAACTTCTCAGCCTCCAGAACTGTGAGAAATATATTTCTGTTCTTTATAAGTTACTCAGTATTAGGTATTTTGCTATAGCAGCACAGACAGACTAAGCCAGAAATAGATAGATAGATAGATAGATAGATAGATAGATAGATAGATAGATAGATAGATAGATAGATCACATTTTCTTTATCCATTCATCTGTCAATAGACATTTGCGCTGTTTCCATACCCTGATTATTGTGAAAAATGCTGCAAGGAACATAGGGGTGCAGTTATCTCTTCAAGATACTGATTTTATGTCCTTTGGATATATAGCCAGAAGTGAGATTGCTGGATGGTATGATAGTTCTAGTTTTAATTTTTTTAAGAATTAAAAAATACTAAGTGAGACTCTGTCTCAAAAAAAAAAAAAAATACTGTTTGGGGGCTCTTATTTTTTACACCATGTACAAAAGTTAACTTGAATTGGAATAAAAACTTAAAAGGAAGATCTGGAACCATAAAACTCCTAGAAAAATAATAAAGGGGGAAAGTTCCTTGCTATTGGCCTTGACAATGATTTTTTGGATATGACACCGAAAGCACTGACAACAAAAGTAAAAATAAACAAGTGGGACTACATCAAAATAAAACGCTTCTGCACAGCAAAAGAAACAATTAACAAAATGAAAAGGCAATCTATGGAATGGGAGAAAATATTTGCAAACCATACATTTGACAAGTGGTTAATATCCAAAATATATAAGAAACTCACATAACTGAATAGTAACAACAGCAACAACAACAAAACCCCAAATAACTCAATTTAAAAAATGGGCAAGGCCGGGCGCGGTGGCTCACGCCTGTAATCCTAGCTCTTGGGAGGCCGAGACGGGCGGATTGCTCAAGGTCAGGAGTTCAAAACCAGCCTGAGCAAGAGCAAGACCCCGTCTCTACTATAAATAGAAAGAAATTAATTGGCCAACTGATATATATATATAAAAAAAAATTAGCCGGGCATGGTGGCGCATGCCTGTAGTCCCAGCTACTCGGGAGGCTGAGGCAGAAGGATCGCTCGAGCCCAGGAGTTTGAGGTTGCTGTGAGCTAGGCTAACGCCACGGCACTCACTCTAGCCTGGGCAACAAAGTGAGACTCTGTCTCAAAAAAAAAAAAAAAAAAAAAAAAATAAATAAAAAATAAAAAATGGGCAAAAGACCTGAATAAGCATTTCTCAAAGGAAGACACACAAATGGCCAAAATGAAAAGATGCTCAATGTCACTAATCATGAGAAATGCAAATCAAAACCACAGTGAGGTATCTCATACCTGTTAGAATGGCTCTTACCATTATTTATCCTTTTATAATTTCTCTACCACCTTGGTTTCCTCTGGGTTAAGTTATCTAAAAAGTGTCTCTCTGAATTAATCACTTAGCTTAAATGTTCTATATGCTTGAATAAATACAGCCCTAACATAATTCTGGAGTGAATATTATGAAGATATCAATGATGTAAAAATTAATTTATGTCTTGGTATATACTTCAGAACAAAGTCTAAAATGTATCTGAAGGAATAAATGAGTGAGAAAGCATTAAAGTCTTGAAAATTTCTGTAATAGATAATAAAAATATTATGAAGCCACAATTTAGAAAATATGTTAAGTGTCTTACTTGCTGTCAAATACAGAGATAGATTAATAGAGCAGAAGGAAGTCCAGGAATAGACCTAATTACATGTAATTTAGCATATGACAAGTTGAGAATTACAAGTGACTCTATTTCAATAGACAACTGCTTGGAAAAATATATCAGGTCGAATTTTTACCTGATACCATATGCTAAAATATGTCAGATTGATTGCAAAGCTAAATGTAAAGAAGAAAAACAATGGAACAAATATTGGACCTATACAATAGAGGGATAGCACTCACTTATACCTACATAAATGACTGTAGCTCACAAAATCTCTCTCACTACAAAACACTAAAAATGATCCTATGGGGCAATGGGGATCAGGGGGAGTAGCAGGACCCTACACTATAATAGAAATTAGGCACTAAAGTCACAGCTTCTGTGAAGCATCGTCTTGGGTTCCCAATACCTCAGAGGGATCAGGTCAAGGCCGAAGGCAGGGATATGGGATTGATATCCCCACAAAAGTGGGAACCCTCTGTCAGCCACACCCTCAGAGACTAGCCCTCATTCAGGTTTGGGGTTCAAATGTATACTTCCTAAATTGCGCCAGATACCCCAATCAGGAGCATTAACTCATAGTTCCCAGAAGGTTGCAGACACACGTGGGTCCTCTCTGTAGAAAGTCATTCTCAACCCAGTCTTCTCAGGACTTCTGCAGGGAGAACCTCACTAAATGTAAACTTACAATCCAAACTTTCAAAACACACAAGGAATAGGAAAAAATTGCTAAATAACTGTCTAGTTTGGGGATACATAAGGAAGAACTTTCCAAGCAAAGCTACAATGAAAAAGAAAGTACAAATAAAAAGGCTTTAAATAAAAATAACACTAATAATATTAAGAGTGAACATTTATGGAGTATGTATGCAATGCCAAACACTCTGCTAAATGCTCTATACACATTATACCATGGAGTTTCCTACAATAAGCCTTTATGGCAGGTAGTATTATCCCCAATCTGCAGAAGCCCCATCATGTATTAACTGTTAGAAAACATGAGAGCTGCTGAGGGGTCATGTGCTTGCAGGGTGGCTGAGAATTTCTCAAGCCTGGGGGGTTCGTCATAACTGACATAATACCACTCTTCTCACCAGTGATAGGTTTAGGCACAGGCACATGATACAATTTTGGCCAATGAAACATGAGGGTGAGTTTGCTTGATTTATTCCTTGCTCTTAAAGAGGACACAAAAGATGCTTTCTTTTTGCCTCTGTAGTTTTCCATCTGCATGCACATGCTGAAGCCAGCTTGCGACTTTGAGAAAAACCAGCCTAGGGGTGCAAGCCAATAAATACACTGAGGATGGCAGTGCGAAAGGATCCAACAACCTAAGTCCTGGATGCTGATGGACTTGTAAACCTTGCAACTACCCTACCTCTTCCTAGGCCTGTGCTTCTCAAAGTGGGGTCCATGTACTAGTAGCTGTCATGAACTTTGATAATCACAGGTCTCGATAAGATAGCTTGTGCCAGGGCATAAAGCAGGGCACCATATCCTTCACTGAGAAACAAACAAAAACATTGGCTAAATTGTGTTTATTTATCCATTGAACTGAATGGTGTTTATTTGATTTCCATTCTGGAGCAAGTTTCTTATCACTGACTGGTAACAAACAGTTTGCAAACTGGCATTTTGAGCAGCACTGTTGGAAATTTGTTATGGAAGATAGTAATTGCCTTTATTGTTTAGGTCGTCTATAATTGGGTTTTCTGTGGTTGGCAACTGAAAGCATGTGAACAAATGGTGATATACATTCAAATAATAGCATATTTCTAGATATTTTATAATACATCTACAAATTTAACATTAAAAAGCAGGATACAAAACCATTTATATGGTATGACCCCACTTTTCTACATACATGGTAAGATATGCCAACAGTAAAAGAGATACACCAAACACTATTAGTGAATTAATGCTAAGTAGTGGGAGTCTATATTATTTTTACTCTTATGTATTTTTCAAAAGTACCACAATGAATATATATTAATTTCATAATGATTAAAATTTTTAAATGTGTCTTTTTAAAGTAATGAATCCCTGCCTACAAAGGAAGTTTTATGTTCTGCTCAAAACTATTTGACTTTAAAACAAATGCTAAAAGGTTAAAGATTTAAATATAAAAAATTCAAAACTATAACAAGAGATGTTAGGAAAATATTGATAAATTTGAGGTCGAGAGGAGACTTTCATAAACAAGATGGAAAATCCAGAAGTCAAATGAAAAGAGAAACATATTTGAACATACATAAAAATTGGACCATAAGTAAAGTCCAAAGATAAATGATAGACTCAGAAAAAAATTGCCCCACATAACAGACAAATATAAAATATGTATTTTATAAAAATAGAAAATATACTATAAAACATGCTATAAAAATAATGTCTTCAAGTGGAAAAGACATAAGCCAATAGAAAAATGGGCAATGACTATGAAAAGATAAGTCTCACAAGAAAAAATCCAAATTAAAAATCTACTC